AGACACATGAAAAAGTGCTTAGCCTCACTCATCATCAGAGAAATGCAAATCAAAGCCACACTGAGATACCACCTAACCCCAGTAGGAATGGTCGTCATCAATAAAGTAACAACAGATGCTGGCGAGGATGTGGAGAAAAGGGAACGCTTCTACGCTGCTGGTGGGAATGCAAACTAGTGCAACCTCTCTGAAGACAGTGTGGCGATTTCTGAAAGAACTAGAAATTGACCTTCCATATGACCCAAAAATTCCCCTACTGGGAAAATACCCAGAGGAACTCAAATCATTCTACAAAAAAGATAACCTGCACATGTATGTTTGTTGCAGCTCTATTCATAATAGCAAAAACATGGAACCAACCATGCTGCCCATAGAAGCTGGACTGGATAAAGAAAATGTGGTACATATACCCAATAGAATATTATGCAGCTATGGGAAACTGTCAGGGAAGGGGGGTGGGATTGGCAGTTGAGGGAAACTGCTAGGGAAGGGAGGGTCATAATTCATCAACAAGGGAACCTGCATAATCAGTGTTTGTATATCTAACCCTGAATTGTACCACACATCTTTATAATATAAATAAATAAATAAATAAATAAATAAATATGTCAGTTTTAAATCACCCTCCCCCCCCATCAGTGCCCTGGTATAAAGGCATCATGCAAGATTCTCAAACTGCTGCCCTTAATTTTCAGTGACAGCACAAACAAATCCCCAGTGGGCTCCAGAGCAGACCTACCAGGTAGTTCTCGTCCTGGAAGGCGTAGTGCAGCGCAGTGATCCACTGGCAGTCGCCGTTCACCAGCACGTCACGCTCCTCCCGGAAGCATGCGGTCTGCAAGGCAGTGGGGGCCGTCAGTCTGTGCTCACAGGAAGGTCTAGAGAGCATACTGTGTCGATACCAGGGTCCCTGCTGTGACAGTGGCTGCAGGGACAGCATGCCCCCTCACTGGAAACCAGGTGTACTAACATCCCAAGGGCTCTGCAGTCGATGACAATGAGCTGGCTCTCTTCCCTTCCCGAGATCTGTGCCAGTGCCACGGGTCACCAAGACATCACCTGCACCTTGCCCCCATGCATGCCATCAGCACAGTCAACACATGGATTTACCTGTCTCACACAGATTCCAGCAGCAGCTTCCTGCCTGGGCTCCACCCACTGGCATCACCTGACTTCTCTGTGATATGGGCTGGCTCGTGGCTGGCTGAGGGCACACGCCTGTTTACTGACTTCACAGTCAACCAATGAACACAATTCTAACAGATCCTACTATGGAGACCTAGGGCCAGTAATATCGGGTAAAAGGCTGCCTTTTAGCTTGCAGTGGTTTAAAAACAGCTTTGGCTGGGTGCAGTGACTCAAGCCTGTAATTCCAGCACTTTGGGAGGTGGAGGTGAGAGTACTGCCTGAGCTCAGGGGTTTGAGACCAGCCTGAGCAACATGGCGAGACCTCATCACTAAAGTAAAACAAAAAATTAGCCAGGAGTGGTGGCACATGCCTGTAGTTCCAGCTACTAGGAAAGCTGAGGCAGGATCGCCTGAGCCCAGCAAGTCGAGGCTGCAGTGGCTGTGAATGCCACTGCACTCTACCCTGGGCGACAGAGTGAGACTCCAAATCAAAAAAATAAATGAATACATAAAAACAGCTTTGACACCCAGGTGGCATCTCTAGTTAAAAGTAACCGGGTCTGGCCAGGCTCGGTGGCTCAGCCTGTAATCCCAGCACTTTGGGAGGCCAAGGTGAGTGGATTGCCTGTGCCCGTGGGTTTGAGATCAGCCCGGGCAACCTGGCAAGACCTCGTCTCTATAATAAATCAAAAATTAGCCAGATGTGGTAGCGTGCGCCTATAGTTCCTGCTACTTGAAAGGCTAAGGTGGAAGGATCGCCAGAGCCCAGCAGGTGGACATGCCACTGCACTCCAGCATGGGTGATGGAGTGAGACTCCACCTCCCAAAAAAAGTAACCAAGTCTTTGGCACTATTATAATAAAATTTCCTCTTTACTAAGCACACAGAATAACAAGATATAAACTCTTTCTTATATTTGAATCTCGCCACGACTAAAAATACAAGTGCTAGTACGGTGGGCTTCCCATGTGAGGCACTGGAACACGGGTCTGACCTGCTCATTTCAGTCTCACAGTGACCTCTGGAACTTGTTTTTTTTTACAAGTTTTTCTTTCCTAAACTTTAAAAAAGTTTTCCTTTCAAACGAAATGACTGAGGTAGATGTGTCCCGATTCTGTTAATTATAACACAGTTGAGCCTGCTAATGCCAAAATGTGCAGAGACAAGCAGTTCTGGAACTGTCAGGACCCCTTTGCCAACGGTTACACCAGTCACAAGGGCCTGGTAAAGAGACAGCTAGAACCTGAATCCTGTTGGATATGACCTCCTGTCTTCCAGAAGACTCTGCCAGAAAGAAGTGGTAATAAAGCAGTGAGTCTCTGGCGAGGGAAGACCCTGGGTTTTAGAGGCCAGGACCAGACCGGAACCCACAGCAGCTAATTCTGTTTCCAGAAGGAGATGTTCTGCCTGCTTGGTGTCTACCTACCGACCCTTGAGATAAAGCCCATTCTTAAAGGGGGATTGCCTGCATAAGACCCTTGGGCAGGAATATGCATATTTTAATTCAGCAGTTTTGTTTTAAGAGCAGAGAGTGCAACCTTTAACATTTCTTTGACCAAAAGAGATGAAATATTTCAAGACCTAGACTGGTCTAAAAGCTATAATCTCATACTGCTTAGCAACTTTTCTACTGCCCAATCTCTTATTTAATTCATGCTTTTTAGGAAAATTTTTTATAAGCCAATATTGTAGAAATTGTAAAACTTAATATTTTAGATAATCTATTTAATAGAATAAAAAATAAATTATTTACAACTAGCATTACATAGCAATACATATATCTTTATATATCTCAAACACATACATATCCCATTTTATTTATATATATATTTTTTTTCTTTCTAGGATAATCATCATGACTAGCGGACATTCTTGAACTTTTCTGAATATCCCAATTAATTAGATCTAGGTAACCAGACTTAAATTAAATCAGCAACATGGACTCTTTTAAAATTTACTTACCCACCACGACATCTGGGTAAATACCAAACACCTTACACCTCCTAAAACTTTCATTAGCAGTAACTACTTTTTTTCCCCATCAAAGATTGCTCCAAGTCAGGTGCGGTGCCTCATGCCTGTAATCCTAGCATTTTGAGAGGCCAAAGCCAAGACAAGAGGACTGCCTGAGCTCAAGAGTTTGAGACCAGCCCGAGCAACATGACGAGACCTCATCTTGACAATAAATCAAAAATATCAGCTAGGCATAGTGGCGCATGCCTATAGTTCGAGCTACTTGGAAAGCTGAGGTGGAAGAATCGCCTGAGTCCAGCATATCGAGGCTGTGGTGGCCGTGAACATGCCACTTCACTCCAGCCTTGGTGACAGAATGAGATTTCAACTAAAAAAAAAAAATCGATCCATTAAAAATATGCGCTGGGCAGGACCTGGGGGCGGGCCCAGCGGAGCAGGAGGTAAGGCGAGGGAGTGACGACAGAAAGGAAGACACAGAGGCAAGCAGTGCAACCCTGCAGCTGTACGATGTGGGTGGTTGGAGCAGTAAGAGGACCCCAACAGTTGAGCCCAGGAGATTGCAAAATGGTGCTACCTCCATCAACCACCATGCATTTACTGGGCAATAAATGGGTGTAAGGGAAAGAAGAAATGGATATGAACCAGGAAGAGGAACCCATAAACAATTCAGACACAGTGAACTTGAAGTGCCAGAGAGATGGAGAGGAAGAACACCCAAGTTCACAAAAACCCAGAGCTCGGGGGAAGTCTGACCTAAATGAATGACTATATTGCTATCAGCCCAAGTGGCAGCTCTCACTGGCAGAAAAGGTACAAATTCCAGAAAAAAAAGGAAGGGGTCACCTAAAATTACGAGGAGGGCATGAGCAGTAGAATGAGAGAGGCTAGAAAGCAAAGGACTTCCCAAAAGGAAGAGGTGGCCATGTCTAAGGAGTCCAACTCCAGAGGGCAGCACCAGTCACAGGGCAGTGCTGGGCAGAGTCTGCGCTGAGGCAGGTCAGAGAGACATGGGGGCCACAGCAAGCCACTGCCACAAACGGTGGCCTGCAGGGAGGGGCTGCCAAGTGCTTTGGCAGAAGTGGAGTTAGATGAAGGAATGCACCGTGGTCAGAACAGAACTGAAGGGAGGGAGAGGCAGGTAACCAGCCAGGAAGAAGCTACTTGGCTGAGACAGAACGGAAGGAAGACAGAGGGCAGGTGAGGACAGAAACTGGAAATGGTCAGAGAATAAATGCGCGGCTTACTGGTAGGCCTGGCCTGGCCTGCCTGTGGGGTAGGAGGGAGACCGGAGCTGAGCTTGGGGCTGCAGAGGTGGGGTCAGGGCACAAAACAGCCTCTGAGGGGACTGACACTGCACTAAGAAAAAGCAGATCAAAGATGGCCAAGTGGCAGTTGTCTACTTTTATTCATAAACTTTATTCTCCTTCAAAGCAGGAATATAAAACCATTTCTGCACCTGAGCAGGCTGTCAACACTAATTCCTTTGCACTTGCAGCAGCGCTGCTTCAGTGCCTCCAACTGCTATGACGCTTTCCATGTGCCTTTTCAGTAAACAAAACCCCAGCCAGCGCACCAAGGGTGTCCTCTGAGCGGAGTGTCTGGCAGAAGGCCACGGGAGGGCAGCAGACGGGAGGTGTCCACACCCGCCGGGCAGAGAGCAGCACCCTCTCAAGGAAGAAGGGGCTGGACTCGGGAGATGACTGTTCTTCCCACTCGGCCAGCTTCACAGTTGCTTTCCGCTCACACAAAACCCCCTCTGTCTATTCTGCAGGCTCCACACTCACCTCCGCTCTCTTAAGCATCTCCCACTTGTTGAGGATCTTCATTGCATAAATCCGCTCCGTGTTCTTCATTTTGACCACAGCCACCTGAAATCCAAATGTGAGTTTCACAGAAAGGGAGTTCATGGGACAAAAGGCTGGCACATTTTCATGTAGCTACAGTGAAATCTTAATTGCCCAGGAAATGAGCTGTGAAGGAAAGGGAAGTTTTCTACATAAATAAAGATTTGCTCTTTTCTGCATCAAAACTTGATTTTTTAACCCTACTGCAACCACAAAAACATCAAGATCTGAGTGGTGGATGTAAGGCAGCTCACTTTGGGTTAGGTCTGGAAATTTTCATTTAAAAAAGAAGAAGAAAAAAGTCAGGCACGGTGGCTCATACCTGTAATCTCAACACTTTGATAGACGGGGGCAAGAGGATTGCCTGAGCCCATGGGTTTGAGACCAGCCTAGGCAACTTGACGAGACCTCGTCTCTACAAAAAATTAGCCAGGCACGGTGACGCGCACCTATAGTTCCAGCTACTTGGAAGACTGAGGCAGAAGGATCACCTGAGCCCAGCAGGTCAAGACTGTGGTGGCCGTGTGTGCGCTACTACACTCTAGCCTGGGCAAAAGAGTGAAACTCCTATTCACAAAAAAAAAAAAAGAAGAAGAAGAAGAAAAAGAAAAATGTTCTAATGTTCAATAGTAGAACTGGACAACTACAGGCAACAACAAAGTACTGTACATTTCAAAGCGGCCAGAAGTGAGGACTTAAAATGCTCTCAACAAGTAGAAGTGGTAAGTGCTCACAGTGACGGCTGTCCTGAATGCCCTGCTTATGCACAAAACAAAAATCACCCACACCACGTAAAAATGTGCAAGTATTATCAGCCAATAAAAATATTCTTTAAGCCCTGCCTTGTGAACACCTGTTCCCGGCCCCCAGCTTCGCCCCCTGCTTTCACAGGCCCCACCTCCACACTCACCCCCCCATGCCCGCGCAATGGCGTCACCTCTCCCTTTCGCTTCCCCCACCCGCCTTTACATGTGCCAGTTCTCACATCTAGAATCTTTTCTTCACAGGGGCAGTGACTAACCGTGCAGGCTTTAGAGTATAACTCAGGCAAATTCACTTCTCTGTGCCTCAGTTTTCAAACTACAAGAGGATAAGAGTAGGCCTAGGCTCCTAAGATAGCTGTGAGCCACACTGGATCACGACTGCTCAGAACAAAGTCAGGTACACAGTCAGCATTCTGTGTGGTTGCCAGCCACATTCTTCAAGGCACAACGTGAGTGCCACATCCTTCAGGAAGTCTTCCTAGACTTTTTGGTCTCTGGCAAATCTTGAATGGGCTCTTCCATCACTACTAGCACCTGTCAAGATGCCTGCGTCACTGAATGGCACACATTCTATCCTGCATAAGGTCAATCACTCACAGGGCCCAAGACCCATCACAACACTGCAAGCTACTCAACGGCAGTGACAGTGACTTCTGTACCTCTGGATACCAACAGCAGGCAGCCAGCGTGTCTCCTCCCACGCAGCAGGCATGGAACAAAGAGTTACCAAGTGGCATTACTTACTTCCCTGCCTTCCTAAACATCATAGACCAACCAATAACATCACCAACATCATCGTGACAGCCAACACGTACCAAGCTCTTCCCAAGTGTCAGAGCAGCACTGAGCAGTCTATCAGCATGCTCATTTAATCCTCAAGACAGTCCCAGGTGGTGGGGACTTTAGAATCCCCATCTCACAGATGTGGAACTGGAGGCTTAGAGAGGTTCGGTAAGTCCTGGAAAGCGTGAGGGTAAGGAGAAATCCAAGAAGCAAGAGGACACGCTGCTCCTCTTTCAGGATGTAGGCTATCTGCTTTCAACTCATAAAACTGAGTTTTGCATTAAGTTCCTTGGCTAAAAATAACCATTTTGACTGAAACAGTTTTCTCCCTCTTTCGCTCATCTTCCCTCCCAGAAGTCTCTCTCTGCCCTGGTGTGCCTCTTCCTCCCAGTTGCGCTCTGCCAAGTGTGGCTGTGGCTGCAGAGCTCTATGTGGCCTGGGCCTACGCATCTCCAAAGCCCCCACGCCTGGCACCGCTCCTGGGACAAGGCAGACAGGCGGTCACAGGAGACACCAAACAGGATCTGGTTTTGCTTTTAAAAGGTTTTTTCTTTCTTCTCACTTAACAACAAAATCCATAACCTATATCATCAAACAACCTATTTACTGTTTATAGAGATTTTTCAATTTTACGTAGAACTCAATTTTCTTCCTATGGCTCCTTTATTTTATTTTTATTTTTTATTTTTTTGAGTTGCAGTCTCACTCTGTCACCCAAGCTGGAGTGCAGTGGCATGCTCATGGCCACCCAGCATTGATCTGCTGGGCTCAGGCAATCTTTCTGCCTCAGCTTTCCAAGTATGCGAAACTACAGACATGCGCTACCACACCCGGTAAATTTTTTGATTTCTTGTAGAGATGAGGTCTTGTCAAGTTGCCCAGGCTGTTCTCAGACTCATGGGCTCAGGCAATCCCCTCACCTCGGCCTCCCAAAGTACTGGGATTATAGGCTTGAGCCACCGCACTTGGCCTACGGCTCCTTTAAATAAAAACTTCCCCATTGGTGGCAAAGAGTTGTTGCCTTGGTATGTGTAGGGTCTGGGTGGGAGTTCTGCAAAGAGACAAGAGGGAACTTTCTAGGGGTGCTGATTACAAAGGTACAGACACTTATCAAAACTCAAACTGTACATGTAGTCCTGTGCATTTTATACATAATTAAACTTAACTATTTTTTTAAAGTTTAAAGAGCTTTCTGCCCCATCTCACCTCACAGCTAACTGAATTTGGCTGGTGAGTCCTGAATCCACACTCCATTGAGACAAGACTGGAGTTCCGGTCACCCTGGGATGGGCCTTGGAGGAGCTGTCCCCAGGGGCCTGACTGCTCCCCTCCCTAATCCCTCTGGGAAGACTCACAGGGATGGTGCCACCAACAGGCGGGGCTGATTAGCTTCTCTCCCGTCTGCACACTGGAAGTATGGCACAGAAAGTGTCTGTCCTGCACACAAATGCCATCGTACAATTCCTAGCACTTTACAGACATGCCCAGTAAGTAGGTTGCTGCAGGCAGAGCACACCCGCAGCTACGACATGACAGAGCATTTTATTGTTTGATTTTTCCTCTATTACCAGTCAAGAAGAGCTTAAGATCAAACCTAAACATAGACGCTAATGTCCTTCACAGTCTAAGAGGCAAGCTCTTCAGGTAACTCACTAAGAGGGAGGCCGGCCTCTCCAGGTCCTGGCAGAATCGCCCTGCAGGAGGATGCTGAAAACAGTGCTCAGCAGGAAAGGTCACACTGCACTACAGCCTCCCAGTACTGCCCGAGGAACTTGGCATGGCCCCTGCAGCAGGACTCCAGACACTCTGCCTCATCTCCATGCAAAGCCGGTCGGCCTCATAACAGCACAAGTGCTGACAGCAGGCAAGCTACATATCATGAGAAGAGAATAGTCGGTATTTAACCCTCCTTGCATTTTTTAGGAAATGCCAAAATTGAATTAACAAATGGATTTTTAAAAACTATTTGTGTCTGTAATAAACTATTTTTGGTCCCAACAATATTCAACATAATCTAGTCACAAGCTTTTGTGGTTTTGTTTTTTCTTTTTTTGATTCAGGGTCTCACTCTGTTGCCCAGGCTGAAGTGCAGTGGCACAATCACAGCTCACCACAGCCTCAACCTACCTCCTGGGCTCAGGTGATCCTCCCACCTCAGCCTCTCTAGTAGATGGAACTAGAGGTGGGCGCCACCACACTCAGCTAATTTCTTAACATTTGTTTAGAGACGGTGGTCTCACTATGTTGCCTAGGCTGGTTTCAAACTTCTGGGCTCAAGTAATCCTACTACCTCAGCCTTGCCAAGTGCTAGGATTACAGGTATGCGCCACCACTCCCGGCCACTTCTATAGGTTTTTTTCTCTTCTCCATTCTATCTTTCAGATTTTCTCCATTAAGAACTTTCCAGTCAGGGGCCGTGGCACCACCTGAAGTCCCAACTCCTCAGGAGGCTGAGGTGGGAAGATCATTTGAGCCTAGGAGTTACAGGCCACCCAGGACAACACAGCAAGACCATGACTCAAAAAATAAAAACAAAAATAAAAAAAGAAGACAAGAAGAAGGAAAAAAAATCTCTCCCAACGATACCAGTGACTAACTACCTTGTCTCAAAATCAACGTGTAGGTCCACAGGAAGGGGAAACGGGAGTTGCTGTTTTGGCAACGGAGGCAAAGTTAACAAAATGAAGTCCATCTTACCTCGCCAAAAGCACCTCTTCCAATTACTTTAATTATTTCAAAGTCTTCTCGATGAAGCTGCATTTCTTTCACCAGCTGTGTAAATGGTTTGGCTATAAATGAAAAAGGAAAATCAACAATTTAGCCCAACAAGTTGATACTACATAAAAATTTAATTGGCTGTGGTGTCACATTAAGTTATACTCTTTAAAAATGTTACCTTTTAAAAATATTTAATATCTGAAAGCTTTGGAAAGTCAGTATACTCATTAGTGTAGACGTTTGTCGTGAGCAACCACCATCATGTGCCGTCATCATTTCAGTCAATGATGGACCATATGTGTGAAGGTGGTCCTGTAGGATTATAGGGCTGTACTTTCACTCTACCTTTTCTATCTTTACTCAAATACCATTGTGTTACCGCTGCCTATAGTACTCAGTACAGTCAATGCTGCACAAGTGTGCAGCCAGGTGTGCGGTAGGCTGTACCATCTAGGTTTGTGAAGTACACTGTGATGTCTGCACAATGACAAAATCACCTAATACATTTCTCAGAAGGTATCCCCATCATCAAGTGATGCTGACTGTATACTTCAATATCTATTCTAGCAGATACCATCATTACCAAAATCTGGTCAAAATGTTTCCATCTCCTGGTCAAAGCCAAGACACAACTACTGAGAGAGTAACTGATAGGTTTGCTGGCCCCAGTATACGAGGACACAGTACACAAGGTGACTGAGCACTGAAAGCCACCTGAGTGCACAGCAGCAGTCACAGGCAGCTGGAAGAACACGAGTCATTCTCCAAGCAATGGTGATCTCCAAAGTGCCTGTGGTTACCCTGGACATCCACAGTCCCAGGAAAGTCACATGGCATCTCTAACAGGAATGTCCACCAATCAGAACTTTACGCCGCTGTTCTCACTCTCCTCACATGGATTCTTTGGGAGAAAGTCTATTATCATCTGCAATTGACAGATGAGAAAATTGCATCAGGTTTCTGTGGACAGTGTACTGGGTTGTATAATGTACCCCTAAAACTCATGTCCATCCAGACCCTGTGACTGTGACCTTATTTGGAAACAGGGTCTTTACAGATGCAACCAAGTTAACATAAGCTCACATATCGGAACAGGGTGGGCGCTAAATACAAAAGACTCCTTACAAAAAGAGAGCATATGGACACCGAGGCAAAGGGACAGAGCCGTCTAAAGATGAAGGCAGAGACTGGAGCGAAGCAGCCACAAGTCAAGGAAGACCAAGCACTGCTGGCAGCCCCTAGAAGCCGTGAGAGGCAAGGGAGGGTTTTCCTAGAACCTTCAGAGGAAACATGGCTCTGGTGACACTCTGACATTGTACTTCTAGCCTCCAGAACTGTGAGAGAAAAAAAATCTGTTGTTTAAGCCCCCAGTTGGTAGCAATTTGTTACAGTAGCGCTGGAAACTCTAGAGAAAGGCAAGGTGACTTCTTCCCAGGAGCAGAGTGAGTGGCAGAACTAGGACTGGAGCCCAGGTCATTCGACCCAGCAACACCGTGTGTCCTGCCAGCCTACCAGCCATTTCACCAATGACCTATCTTACTCCTGTCTTCATTTTCACCTCCATATATGTTTTATGCTAACTTTGCTACATACCCTTTTCCAAATTCTCCATGACTACAGTTTTGCAAAATGTCACCGCTGGAGAAAAGTGGGCAAAGTGCACCAGGGATTATTTCTCTCTGTATTATTTCCTGCTTGTGCATGAGTATCTACAATTAGCTCTAAAAAATATGCAAGCTGACATTTCCTGACTTCTGAGTTCCATACTATTAATCTGACTGATTCTGTATTTTTGTTCTCCTTAAACAGTTGCTTAATACCACTAAGGTTTGATCACCATGGTTCACCGACCTAGGTAATAGAGCAAAGGAGGTTCTTGTGCCTATCAGATAGTGAGTTCTGAACTCTGGCTCACCACCACAGAAAGTGCCCATCAGCACAGAGATTAGGGAGCAGAGCAAACAAAGCTTGAATTTAAAAAAATAAATAAAAATAAAAAAGACCAGGTTAAAAGAAAACCCTTGAGCTAGAACTTAAAAGGTCATCTGCAGTTCATCTCCATTTCTTTATAATATCACCTAAATAGCCATTCCCAAAACTTGCTATGGAAATAAGTCTTTTTAAACAACCACTGAAGATAGCCACCACTCCTGGTAGCTCCTGGGGGAACCAAATGGTACCTTTCCTTTTACTGTGAGAACAAAACCACTCACAAACCTGATTAGCAGGAAAGGAAAAGAACACCAGTGAGGTGTGCACAACTATCCCACGAGCTACCCCACAAGCTACACACGAGCTACACACGAGTTATCCCACGAGCCGTCCCATGAGCTACGCACGAGCTATGTATGTACAAGCTATCCCACAAGCTACACAAGAGCCACACACAGCACACACTGCAGAAGCGTTTGCTCTGGCAAGACACAGCACCACACTCTGGACTCTTCTACAAAAACCCCAAAGACTCACAACACCACTGTTGTAACTGTGCAAATCAGACAGCACACTCATGGAAATCAAAGAGCATTCCACCCATAATTATACCATGAACTAATTAATCTGTCCATGCTCCCATTCTAGTTCTTGCTCAGACATATTCAATGCTTATGTAATTTTGCTTTCTGCATTTGTTTCCTTCTTATATTTCTCATGTTTCTATACTAATCACTTTGACAGACACAAACCAAGCTGACACATCGAAATTTTTAAATTGTGTCTATTAAACACATAGATTAATACGATCCTTTTTTTTTTTTTTAATTCATAGTCTCACTCAGCCACCCAGGCTGGAGTGCCGTGGCATGATCACAGCTTCGACCTCTTGGGCTCAGCAGTTGATACTCCTGCCTCAGCATCCTGAGTAGTTGGGACTACAGGCATGTGCCATTACACCTAGCCAATTTTTAAAATATTTTTGTAGAGATGAGGTTTCACTATTGTTGCCCAGGCTCAAGTGATCCTCCTGCCTCAGCCTCCCGAAGTGCTGGGATTACAGCCGTGAGCTGCCGCTCCGGGCCTCATTTTATTACTAAGGCTTAGAAAATTGTCATCCCTTTGAAGATCTGATAATTTATTTCTATTTTCTGCTAAATGACTTTTAAAACTACTTAACCCTTTATTCCACCTGTTGCTTAGAGTCTTTCCAAGTATGGTTAAAGAATTTATCTTAACTTCTAGTTTTTGCCATCTATGTATCTAAGTGATCTAGACAGTTTGCTTACTCCTCCTGCACGTGAGCGGGGGGGGGGGCACACCCATGTGGACCCCGGAGAAATCCCCTGGCTGCCACTCAAGGAGCCTCAAGTCCTCAGCATGCCACTTGGTAGCAGGCCATCAGAGAAAAGTCACTTGATTTTCTGTGACTAAATTTCCTTATCCATAAAGTAGGCAAAAGATCTTTCCATCCCACCTCAGGGGCCATTAGCAGATGAGAAAAAGGCAGGTAAGATACAGAAAGTAGCTTGTAACAAGGCTGCAATCTAAATGCCTTCTCTTCATCTCTTTTCTTTCCATGTTAGTTATCCTAAAGTTACTCGAGCATCTTTGTCAAGTTTTCCTCCAATTCTTTTTTTTTAACAGAGTATCTTGCTCTGTCACCCAGGCTGAAGCATGGTAGCATGATCACAGCTCACCACAGCCTATGCCACCACACCTGGCTAATTTTTTAATTTTTTATAGAGACGAGATCTTACTATATTGCCCAGGCTGGTCTAGAATTATTGAGCTCAAGCGATCCTCCCACCTTGGCCTCCCAAAGTGCTAATTACAGGTGTGAGCCACCATGCCCGACCTCCTCCTACTTTTAATAAAATATACTTTGTTGGCTATGCATCTTAGCAGTTTTACACAAATTTTCCTGAAATGGGTGAACACAGATTATCAGAAGAAACTTCAAGAAGCAAGCAACAGGAAATTAACTATGTGAATGGAAGCTAATTTTTAAAAATAGGGGGCAATTAAAAGAAGAATCCAGAAGTAAAAGTTAAGAGAAAACATTATTTCTAAAAAATACTAAATGTTTTCAAACAATTCCGAGGATACAGTAACAATTTTGTATTGATGTGTTAAAATCATTATGACTGCATTTGCTAAAACCAGAATAGAAAATTAAATCACAGTGGCAGACCACCCTGTTAATCACACAGGTATTGAGAGGAAGAGACTAAGAAAACAATGATCCAAGTCAAGACAGATAGATGGGACATAAGCAGGTGTAAAGGACAGAGTAACATTTTGAATCAATCAACGTCAACAAAAAATGAGGCAACCCTACCATCTGAACCAAGTAGAGTCGGGAGAAAGAAAAGTACCATCCCTTTGAAGAACTGATAATTCAATCCTATTTTCTGCTAAATGACTTTTAAAACTATTTAACCTGGCCGGGCTCAGTGGCTCAGCCTGTAATCCCAGCACTTTGGGAAGCCGAGGCAAAGTGGACTGCCTGAGCCCACAGGTTCGAGACCAGCCCAGGTAATTTGGCAAGACCTCATCTCTACAATAAAAATTTTTAAAAATTAGCTGGGCATGGTAGTGCACACCTATAGTTTCGACTACTTGGAAGGCTGAGGCTGAAGGGTCGCTGGAGCCCTGCAGGTCAATGCTGGGGTGGCCATGAGCATGAGACTCCAACTCAAACAAACAAACAAACAAACAAAAAACTACTTAACCCCTATTTCATCTGTTACTTAAAGAGTCTTTCCGAGTATGGTTGAATAATTCTTAACTTCTAGTTTTTACCCTCTACGTATCTAAGTGGTCTAGACAGTTATTTGGACAAATAAAATTTAATATAAAGAACTGTTAACTACGTAAATGAAAAGTAAAAAGGGGCACATGAATTATCATGGAGACACCAAATGCAGGAAGCAACTATTACCCTCAGGATAAGGGAACTGAAAGGAAAAGGGTAAAATTTTTAAAACTTAGAAATTCGAGGAAGAGCCCTCCCCATAAGCCTGAAACTCAGACCTCGAAGGATGGGGTGCTACAGCTGGCACTGGGGTCTCTGAGGTCAAAGGTGAGCCCCAGAAGCGGAAAACCTGGGTATCTGAGGAAGGAGTGCTGGCGAGCTGATGTTGGGGTCTCTGAGGGGTTGCAACAAGGCTGTGTGGTAACAAGCTGGTGTGGTAACAAGCTGGAATCAGCTGCACACGACTAGAAGGAACTTCACTGCCAGGATGAAGTACAGCTAGGGGGTCACTCAAGGAGAAGGAGCAGGCAGGAGGTAGGAAGTCCTCCTGTCTCCTAGCCTGTGGTCTCCCTCTAGCACCCCTTTAGACAGAGCTTAACAGGGTCGGGTCAGAGCTTGCCTGATTTGGGGTGGGGCAAATGGAGTAAGAAGGACATCAGTGCTGGGGAGATAGCTGAGGGTGGGGATGGGAGATTTGATACATACAAGAGGTCTGATCAAATACAGTTAGGGAAGAAAGTAAGAATAAACCAAACAATGGGTTCAGAATTGAAGGTTTAGGTTCAGAATTGAAGGTTATCAGTATGAACTCAGGTTTTCAATATACACGGATACAGAAATAAATATGGACATAATTGGGTATGTATCCACATACAGTCCTAGCTCTGTCTGCCAAGAGGGCCTGGAAGCAGAAACACCCCCACAACAAGCACACTCAGTGCCAGATCTTGGTTTCTACACACCATTCTCCATGCCAGAGCTGGGTCAAGAAAGCACAAGGTGAGACTAGAGCATCTTGTTTCCAGAAGTAAGGATATGCTCAAAAAAAAAACACTGATAGTCACAGATTATAACAGATTAAATAAACAGGAAATCCATATGGATATCAGTGAATAAAATTTAAAATATAATAAGAAATGGGAAATCT